TCGTTTGCTTTCTTCCCTCTGGGCCGTCTCGTCCGTCTCCTGCCCCCCTCCCGCCTAATCGGTTGGTGGCTTGTGGTTTCGTTTGAGCGCCCGTTGTCGGCTGGCCTCTTCTTCCTTCTCGTGCCATGTGATCTTGTTGTTGTTGTTGTTGTTGTTGTTGTTGTCGTTGTTTTTCTTCACATTAAACTCGTGTCAGTTGCTAATCCCAAAATCTAGCAAAGACTCGGTCCGTGGTCACAAAAATGCTGGAGCCATCAGAAGATCTTGTACCCGTTGCGGAATCAAAGGATTATTTGTAACCGGTGTTTCGTCGACAGAGTATCTTGTTCGTTGATGCCATGCAACATGTTTTTATTCTAGTACCTACGGACTCACTCGTTGATTGCGACGAGGGCAATTCGCCACATCACCACTCACCACCCGGTTTTGTGGCAAGCAAGACGTTGGGGCCGCGACGCGTGCACTTCGAGAGAGTACAAGTCGACGGTGTTTCTGCGCACAGGGCGCGGAGAGATACAACAACCAGGAACAACATACATACGCTCTGCGACGCTTGGAACCCAGGTGAGAGAGGAGGGTTGAACGAACGGCGAAATAATGTGTGTGCATACCATGGATGCCCCAAGCCTCGCCGTGATGGTTGGGAGGCACGTGTTGGACTGCTTTGAGAATGCAATATCCGACTCATGCGGGGAGCACATGCTGTCCCGGTCGTCGGAAAGTGTGCTCTCGTGGCAGCCTGAGGGAAGCGAGGGGCCAGTGAGGGCTTTTCACAACTAACTACACAGTTTCAAGGGCTCTCGAGCAGCCGCAGATACTTTTGAGGCTAGCACCTGCCGTGGAAGGGTGTGGGAACTGCACCTGCGAGCGATCAAAGATTGAAATTCCCCCTCTCTCCTTGTCTGTCTCTCTCTGGGGCATGCTGTTGCTTTCCGATTAAAAGTCGCGTCCAGCGTATGCAACGCGAGCTATCGAGAATCCAGCGAAAAGGGCAGCCGCGGAAAAAGATTTTTTGATCCTCCTCTTGACACTTTTTACACTTTGACCCACAACAAACATGACTGTAACTCAACAACAACAAGATCCTCGCAGCATCTCCTGTTTTGTTTCATGGACGTCATTAGCCTACAACCAAGCTACAGTAATATGTTTCTCCCGCGTGCGTACATTCCACAGCTAGCTAACGATCGCCCGCCATTCATTGTGTTTCTGTTTTGTGCATTGAATTGAGTTCAGCTATATTTGCATTATTATCGTTGTTGCCGTCTACTACTACTTGCAGCAATAATGTTGATTGTTCGATGAAAACGGTACACTATCCGCAGAAGCTGGCCTGAGAGGACCTGGCATGGAATTTTCCGGCAGAGTAGGGATATGGAGGAGGGAAAAAAAGGGTTATGGGGTTTGGAATGAGCACATACCGGTGTCTGTTCGCCTTGGTCGTGATCCCCCCGCACGGTATTGCATGGCCGGTGCAAACCCACCGACTACGTGTACACCCCGTGTCTACCATAATCAACGGTGTCGTCGTGCTGTACCCCCGGAGAGGGAATAAACTTTCCTCTGGAATGTGCTCCCCCGGGGGGTAAATAATTACTTTTTAAGGTTGGGGGGGGGGGTTGTACTCATAGTCGTGCATGCCGTAGTCGTTAGACCATTGACCTCGCATCCCTACAAAGCCGGGACGGAGCACGCCGGGTTCTCACCGGACCAGGCTCTCACATCACCAAGCGCGAAGCGCCGTGAGATATTCGGCGAGTCGCATGAAGGGTGCGCTGCATCCTGCTAAGGGTTTTCGGCATCTTGTGCTTACTTCCTTGCGTATGACTTACTTTATTTTCTGGTGCTTCCACTTTCTGAGACAGTTGTAAGCACTGTGTAACTGCCTCGAGGGTGCTTGACCATTTTAATGCAACGTGGTGCGATCATCCCCCTTGCGCGGAGTGAGGGTTCTCGACCCCGCACAACATGATCTACTCGACCACCATTATGGTTACCGCCACAAAAAAAAACGGAGGTAAAAAATAAAACGGTAACCTGGTTGCCGAGTTCACGAAGTGAATTGGCTTGTTTTACAACGTCGTTGCCAAGAGACGAAAACCGGACCCCGATGGCAAACACCGGGGGGGGCGGAAGGTGGGGGGGGGTGTTTTTTTCCTTGAATACCCAGGGGGATGATTTCCCCTAGGGGGAGCAGCGAAATTGACACATATTCACACACTTGGTGTTCCCGACAATGGACAAAAAATAAGAGCAAGCGTTACACGGATGACCCGTCCCAAAGACGTAAGATACGAAACGACTCTGAGTGCGTCAGCTCTGGCGCGTTGTGATGAGTAACATACTCGTGAAAAGTCGAAGCCCTGTGGGTTCCTAACCCTAATGGAAAGAAAGTTTCCCCAGGTGTACACAAAAACAGGGCGGAGGACTAATGTTTTATCGAAAAACAATCACCCTCGGGGGTACAACGACAGTTTTTGCCGAACTTTCGACGGGGGGGGGGGGGG